GGGGGGGGATGAGGACCAGGAAGAAAACACCTCAGAGCCAAAAATCACATCTTACAGAAACTGTGCTGCTAGACGTGGGCCTGTCATAAATGCCACTTCGTATAATCCTGCCACAGACAAGCTGATTTCCCTCCCCACGGTTTCTACATATCTTTAAATTAAGCTGCAAAGAACAGTTTAAAGGAAGCAGACATTTCTAACCACTAAAATAATTTAAACTTACAAACACTACAGTGGATTTTCAAGGCACTGCCAAGAATTTAAAACACCTTCATCTTCGCTGCTCAGAGCGTCCTTGGAGACCTTTAAACAAAATGTTTCCTTACCTGGTTTCAGCTCTGTCATACATATAATTTGCAAGTGCTGGAATGCCAAAATTAAATTTTATTTCTTTCAATAAGCAGAACTCAGAACCATTTGTTAAAGGAGAGAAGATGAATAACCCTAAGGGCCTCATTTATCAGAGTTTCCTTGACTTAAACTAGAGGTCTGTATACTGGGTTCTTCAGAGAGTCCGAGTCTTAACACACAAAGATCATTTATCTTTTTTTTAATTAAACTTTTACTACTTTTTTTTTAAAGTTACAAATTTTGAGAATGACTCACTTAAAAGCACAGCTAATTGTCACTCAAAACTCAGGTTTACTACTGTGATTTACCAGAGCATATTCAGTTCCATGTTTAATTTGATACTACATACTTTGTTTAACATTTTGGGTTTTTTTTTTTTTTTAAAGAAAAAGAGAGGAGAGAAGGGGAAAAAAAAAAGCTTTACTACATCCCAACAAGATTAGAGCCAAAAAATTTAAAAAACACCCACCCACCATTCCACTAGTTCATTTTGATGTGGAGACGGTGGCTTTTAAGGAAATTCTTTATTATAGCGCTGCTGGGAAACTAGTGCAGCACACATTTTACGAGGAAGGGCAGAAACCCCAGGATGCCTCTGAAGCCCCAAGTACCTGTCTCTGCAGAGGCTCCTACTCTAGACAAAGTCTGAGAGCATACAAAGCTTTCCTAATCTTCCAGCTGCAGAAAGATTTCAGAGCAATTTTTCTTTTTCCTTCTTTTCTATAGTAGATGCAACTCTTAACAGCTACAGCTGATCTTGCCCTGGGTTCTTGAATCTCCGTCATAGCAATCTGCTTGCACTGGAATTGCTGGAAAGAATCAAGCGATACATCTTCCAGTCCAAAGGGCAACCCGCGCCACTCTCTCAGACCCTACTGGAGCTGGCAAACTTCACTCATCGAGTCAGAAACGGATACAAACTGCAGGATGGAGTATGAAGGCCAAAGAAATACCAGATTCATTAACAGTGCTGACAACACCTTTTATAGCTGCCAGCTGCTCTTAAAAGAGGATTTCTGCATCTCTGTTGGAGGCTATCATTTAACATCGAGAAGGTAGCTAATTTGGACCCTGTTCTGCCTCCCCTTTTTAAGACGTGTGATCGAGATGGCAGTTATGAGCGCTGTGCTTGTAAAGGTAATTTACACCTCGTAAGTCTGGTCTCCCCATCGCCTCTAATTAAGGGAGTGCAGGGAGAGGATATCTCCAGTGGACAGTTTAAAGTATCTTTAGTTACATTTTGAGGGTGGACAATTGAGAGCAGGGGTTACTTCCCCACTGACTGCAGAAGCAGCCTGGGGCTGCTTGCTGTCTCTTGGGTCAATCTGTCCTTGGAGAGGGCACCCCCGCCACCCTTACGGCGCAGGTCTCCCCACGCCTGCCACACCAGCGTGCAGACCTACGCTTCCCAGAGCCAAAGCACCGGCTGATCGTGCTAGTTAACGATCTCTTTTGAAGGAAAAGGAAGATTATACCACGAAGCCAATATTTTTCCGCTGTCGGCGGCTGCTGGTACCCCTGACCACGGCTTGCTCGTGCCACCTCGTGGACACGCGGCAGAGACGCTCCCGGGTGTCCGGGCTGCGGCGGCCGGGCCAGGAGCGCTCCTCCACGAGGCTGGGGGGGCTGCAGGGCTCCAGGTCTTTCCCCTTCCCGTTTCTCGATCAGCGCACGTTAGACGTGGCACAGATCTCCAGCGCATTAAGCACGCTGCTAAGACGAGCAAGGGGAGCCTCAGCAAGGCTGGCTCGCGCTTACAGGCAGTGCCGGCACTGCGGAGACGAAGGGGGAGGAGAGGAAGAAAGCAGCAAATGTGGTGGCACAGAAAGTCAGTGCAAACTTTACCTGATGCCAAATTTTAGAAATTTAGGATTTAGAAAACAGAGGCTAGCCAAGTGCTCAAATTGCTGTATCATTATGACAAGTTATCACATTACTGTAACTCCCAAGTAACTGTTTTTCATCTACATCTATCCTCAGAGCTGAGGCCTGTCCTCTAGGATCTGAATCTTGCTATGAGAGAAAGAAGCTTTTCAGTCTATACACAGTGTATCAGGTATCTGCTAAAAAAAAAAAAGTAATTCATTTCATACGTCAGAAAGCTTAAAGTCAAAATTAACTCTCAAATCTATTTTGGCTCTGTCAAAAAAGGTTATCAAAAGTTTCTGTACCACTGTTGCAACCTTTCATTTATTTCTGTTGGTTACATAATCAGAGGAATCCTTTCACAGGGAAAAATGTGAGGCATATGTTGCACTCTCAAGATTGCTGCTGAAGGACCTTGCAAAACCACCTGCCTGGATATCATTTGCGTTGAAAGAATCTTAATAAAAAGCATGATTCAACGCACACAGAACTACACGTTTCCAATAACGCATACAGCCTGGTTCTGTGGCATTTTTTATTAATTAATCGTTGTTCAGTACGGCATTGGTTCTTTCTCTCCTCAATCTTTCTTTAAGATAGATACTAAAAAGATACACATCACATGCATGCACACAAGGTGAAATTCAGGCAAAGAGTTCTTTGAAGCTTTTACCCAGTAGAGAAGTGCACTTGGAAATATACCCCCTGGCTCCTAGAAATGAATCTATAAACACATATCTTAAAACTCACAAGATGCAAAAATCAGAGGATTTGTCTTAGGAGACCGTCAGAACCTGAGCTAATTTATTTCCATTCAACTGGAATAACTAGGATCAATGACTGTTACTGATATTGAGCAATTTTTTTTGCTCATTTTAAACAGGACAGCAAATCATCTGAGAACACATCCCAGAAATTTGCTAATCCCAGTTCCAACACAAAGACAGTGGAGTGTCTAACAGCACTCCAAAGAGAGGACGTTTTAATAGTTTTAAACTTCTAAGTTAGCTCTGTGTCAGCTTTCCACACATCTTTACTGCATGCAGCTGTAAGACAAGCACTGTCCAAGAGAAATCATATCTGACAGAGAGAAAAAAAATTTTTAAAAGCCATTTGAAAGGGACAAGTTACATTTCATTTGACACTTGAGGCAAGGACATGGAGAACTTGACCATAATTCAAAAGGCAGCTGGGAAAAACGTAATGGCATGCTGAACGCTTCCAGAAAAAAGGGGAACAAAGCCCTCAGAGTCAGATAAACCTGACCGGATGTATTTTGAAAAGAGGTATCTGTCTCTACCCAGCATTTACACCAGGTAAAAAGGGCTCCTTTGCAGTGGTGGGTGTTTCCGGAAGCAGCACTGAGAAGTCTGCCTATGTGTCCAGGAACATGAGCTTTCACCAAGTGTCAGCTGAAATGATACACTCTGCTGGCACGAAACCCTTGTAAATTATGCAACTCTCAACTGCACTTAATTCACTCAACAACACCCATGATGTTCTCGTACAAAAGAGAGCCTAATAAAACAATGTATTGTGAAGGAAGCTCAAAATCCTCATCCAAGGACTACTAGGAATATAAACTAGTAGGAAGTCAGACAGAGGTAGGAGGAAGCTTCCCACCTCTCTCTAACCATCTAGGCAATAATTACAAGCACAGATGAGACATGGGAGTGCTGATTTTGTGAACTGCTCTCTCACGTGGAGATTTACAAAAAAAAAATTCTTCTGCCTAAACCAACTGTATACACAAGACACCACCCAGAGATTAAATTAGATATGATTTCCTACTGCTTTCCTTAATTTTGGCCTATTAAAATGTTAGAATTATATTGCGTTGTGGTAACGACTTTGGGTCACTTATGTAACAAAGACAGAAGATGAACTTCAGTCCACTCCTAAAAAGCAAACGTGGGAATTAGGGTACCTGATCTGTAGGGAAGATGCAGGGAGGAAAATCAGATACTCTCAGGGTATCAGCTTGGATAAAAGGACAGATTACTAGGATCTGTATGTGGAATACCCATACATCATATCTGTAGTGAGCTGTACAGGCTTTCGACATTTCTGTCATATTACGGCTTTCCCACCATGCAATAAGTCATGACGGTTCCTGTCCTACAGCAGTCTAGGATGAGTGTTAGTTCCGTCCTGAATAGCATGCAGGATATCAGGACCAAATGCAGCCACCTTGGCCCAGCAGTCTATCCAGAAGAGACCCCCCGAGCAGTCAGGTGCCTGGAAATAAACAGAGCTTTCAGCAAGGGAACTCCGCAAGCGACTACAGCCCTGCTGAGACCATGCCTGTGCATGCCACCACCCACCGGAGGCCAAGCAGCTCTGCACTGCTCTTGCAACAAAGTCAGCAAAGGTAACACCAGGCTCCTTCTACACAGGTCCCACGACAAGCCTAGCTGCATCCATCTTCTGGGTGCACACCAAACAGGCAGAGGCGTGAACGCAAACCACAGCAGAGCAATCACAGCCCCAGTCCCTCGGACATGCTCAGGAAGGCAGGGTGGGAAGGCAGTCACCCACGTGCTACCCTCAGAATAAGGGCTAGACAGAGCACTCAGAAATAGTGCTTCTTTAGCTCTCTTATTTTCTCTTTCCAGCCCCACAAAACTCAAATCTCTTTCCTGCATGTGGTGCCAGTTTCAACAGAAGGAAGAGATAGTCACGTCACACACCCGACAGAGCCTGGCAGTAAAAGCACTCTTCTGGCCTTAAAACCTCTCCAACTGCAGCAGGAAATTGGTGTCCCTCTCTCAAGCATGCTCTGCACCCCCTAGGGTAGAATGGACGGACAGGCAGTATCATCTCTCTTCCCTGCTTCCTCACTGAAGAAGGGAGCAAGCTAGTCTCCCTTTCCGAAAAGGGCACATTAAACTGAGAGATTTTCACATTTCCCTGCCTTTCTTTTTAGCTAGCAGAGGCTTAGCCTACTAGCTGCAGTGTGTCCAACCCTCACGGAAATCTTCTCAGATAAATATGCCACGCACTAATGATGCCTCAGCCTTGGCTGCGGATTTTGCTGGACCTCGCCACCTAGAAGTTGGCCATTGCTGCGATCAAACCAGTTGGGGATCTCTTTGCCTGCACTTTCGTGGGAGAAAGGGCAATCCAGTAAGACGATTGTTTTTCTGATCCATGTGAATTTTTAGTATATGCATCTAGACTGCAGTTGTTGTTGTAACAGAGGTGTTTCACTTTGAATTCCGAATAACAATGACCGAATCCCGCCTTTGTACTTCTTGTTAGACAACAAATAAAACCTCTGGGAAACACTCATTAGTTACAAATTTTATGCTCAAAAAAGAGGCTCTTCTAAAAAAAATAGAACAGATGTCTCCTAAGACCTGATCCCAAAAGCACTTGCTGGCAGGCCTAGTCTCTACTGCGGCTGGTAAGAATTATGTTTTAGAAAAAAGAATTTGAAGAACAGAAGGGGAAGAAGCAGAGTAGCCAAGTCAACTACGTGAGCTCAAGCAAGAAAACTCAGCTTTCCGTATGACAATCAGCGGAAATTCTATTTCCATAGGGTCAGGATTTCTACTCGGTTATTCATGCTGCAACAGAAGTAAAGTGCATGGTAAGAACATGTTTCATGCCCCGCTCACACACACCCCAAACAGGCCTCAGTCAAGAGCTCCACACAGCCTCTCTATATCCACTATTCTGTCTTATGTGCTACCCCAGCTCTAACAGGAGCTAGAGGTTATAAGATCAAGGCATCTTCCCCATTGTTCATGTCCTCAATGTGTTTTATGATCAATTTATGCAGCTGTGGGTAACAGGAACAGAGGCCCGTGGAGCAGGAAACGCTGAGACACCTTTGCTGCTGCTCCTGTAGGGCAACGGAACTTTATAAGATGCGCATCCTTATATACAGACTTACGGTAACAGTCAATACTGAAATATACTACTGCAAGGCAGTCCTAATTTTTATCTCAAAAAAAAAAAAAATTGAGCCAAGCTTCTAAGTCTTTTCAGCTAAGTAAACCATAAACATGGCAGTGGCACTCTCTGTGACTTAAGATGACATTCTTGTCTGCTTGATGGAACGTGAATCATACACGGGGAACTGAAGCGTAGAGGGACTTTGTCAGAGGGAGAAGAACAGATCTCTGCCTCACAGGGGTATTAGCAGGGTAAGTTGCTGAGGCTCTTAAAAACCATCTGAGTAGGAACAGAATTATCTAGCTAAGGAGAAAAAAAAAAAAGTGAAAAAACCAACAAATAGTAATTTTTTCCAAGCCATGTAACTCATTAACCTACAATACAAGGATTCAACAACCCTGAGATATACCTACCATTTCCTTGAACGCACTTTCTATTGCCCCAATTACGAGGCACTCATGTGGGATCTTCTTTTCCGTGAAGAAGCGTGTTGGAGGTGTGCTGGGCGAGCCCGGGGCCCCCACCCCACCACGCAGTGAGGCCGCCCGCGTCAGCGTCCTGCTATTGGCTGTTGTGTGCTCAGGCTCCTCTCCCAGGCACGTCGGTGGGAGGATGGCTGAGTTCCTCAGGATGTCCACGAGCTCCTGCAGCTGCTCCAGGATATGGTGCTGAAGCAGTTTAGAAGCAACGACGGCTGCCCCTGAACCAGCATGTCCATCAAACAGGGACCAGTAGTACAGGTTGATCCCATCTGTGTCCTGGTGATGTGGGAGGGGATAAAAAGGAAAGAAAAAGATTAGGTCACCATTGCGCAACCAGTAGTGAAGTGATGGAGCTGCAGTAGCAGCACCAGTAGATGAAACAGAGGTGACTTTCCCATGCAGGGGTCCTTCTGGAAGGGAAAAATTTCCAGTGTGTTATTACAGCTCTGGAAGCGAGAGATGCATGATTTTGCCTTTTTTTCCTCCTTTCTTTCTTTCACCTTACGGGGCAAAAAACTAAACTTGTCCTCTTTCTCATCTTCCAGTCATATGGCACCCTGACCAAGCCTAACTCCACCTTGGACCTACCACTGCGGAAACAGACAAAAAGGCCACACAAGACCATGCCCGATAGTTCTGCAATAGACCCTTTCATTCATTAGGCATTAGACCAGGGACCTCAGCCAGAGAGCTAGTAATAATAAGATCCGATCCCTATCAAAGTGACTTGTAGGTAAGCCCTGTCCATACTGGCAGACATGACAGCATCAGGCTGTCTCTGCTTGCACCAAGCCTGGTACGAGAACAGGGCAGAGGCACCTGGTATGGTGGATGCAAGTGGGTTCAGATGTGCTCTACCCATAAAAGCCTACACATTCATCGCTCAATCCTCCTCAGTCCTCCGAAAAAGGTTTCCTATACAGTACTAGCATTATATATCCTCTAATCAGAAGAGCCAGGTTAGTGTTTTGGTGTAGCTCCCAGCATAAAAGCATGCTTTTAGATCTCACCTCTAAGCTCAGTTCCTAGCATGCTAGTCTACACAGCTGCTCTAATTCAGGCAGAATACGTATCTGAAGAGAGTGAATGTTTCTAGATCTCATTATTAAAACAAGGTATATGTGATAATTTTAAATACTCATTCAGCAACAGGCAGTTATCAGTCAAGGCTGAAATTTTCAAATAGCTCTCTTCTGCTCTGCAGTTTCCCTGACAGGTGTTACACTGGCTCCACTCTTGCTCTGATTTGAGCAGCAACCAGATTTTTGTGGTATTGTGCACTAGACCACTACTGAAATCGGGCCCACTAACCCAAGCCTGGAAACAGACTACATTCTGCGTAGCATAAGCTCAGATCTGCTGGAAAAAACACTCGGTAGCCATAGCCTGGATCATCTAAATTCTTTTGGAAAATTCACCTAGAAAATATGCTGCCTCTTTTCCTCCTCCATTTCCTTTTAACCCTGCATCTTCTCCCAGCTATGCTGAAATAACTGTTTGCAAGTCAGATGTGGAGGACTCATATAGCCTTAGAAATAAATATTTTTGCAAGGGACAGGGAAAAAGCAATACTGTTGCAAAACAACTCATACGATGGAAGCATAATCTACATCTCACCGCAGTTAAAGAACTTAAAGATTGTATTTTTATGCCATGCTGACTGTGGTCTTAATCTAGGATGACAAACACCATAGCAGCTGTTCCACAACTATGATACAGTTCTATTTCATTCTCTCAAAAGCTGCTCACTTACACAACAGATCAGCATGGAGTCTATGCACAACCTGAATCCCATCACCTAGCGCCCAGGGATGGAAGTGACAAACACAAGATCAGCAGAAGTCCCCGTGCATTTGAGGTGGACTTGAAGAGCTATAAGAAATAAGGACATCAGAAAAGTAGGGTGCGAGAGTCCACAGCAGAGAGACACAACCTGCTGCTTTCTCACACGGAGCCTGAGAAGTTTACCACCTTGACTAGCCACCTCGCTCCTCTGCTGATAATTAACAACACTGTCACAGGGAGACAAAAACCACATTTGATGAACCGGCATATATTTTATACCTACTTATTATAAAGTGTATCAACCAAAGCACTACTGATTTCAAGTTCATGTACAGGACTGAACTGCAGCTCCTTTTAGTCTCTGCTGTTCCCGATATAAAGGCACCAACCACTGGCAATGGGACAGCCAAGAGAAAACTTACTGTAAAAGTCTCCTTTGGCAAACTACGTATATAGACCTTCACTATAGGTTCACCCTATTCGCAGCGCAGAGAGTTCACTGCTGAACAAGCACTACTACTTTTAACTTCATTTGATGTGGCATGTTTAAAAGCCACAATTAAAACAATTACATAAAAGTTGGCCTAACATCACTGTTTTTTAGCTCATGCCATTGTTGCTCCACGCACAAAGTACAAGCTGCACATAGTAAAGTTCAAACATATTCCTAACCGTTGCATTAACAATATAGTCATTTATACAGCAGAGTTCCTCCAAGTCGGAATTCTAGCAAGAGAAGGACAGCAGTCTATTGTGCACTCCATTTCATTATCGAAACACTGAGGAGAAGAGAGAGTATTGTCCTACAGTACTGGATCACTTACCACAGTAAACATCACACAGGATATATTCTATAAGGGTGGAAAAAACCCAAACATACACATGTCTGAATGCAACTCCATATCCAGTTCCTCCCATTTACCCAGTCTGGTAAATTCATCAAAAACCTACTGTGAAATTTTACCCCTGTGGACATGCGTGGCAGTTGTGCTTGTTCACTCTTGGCTGAGAATCACTCCAGGTTCACACAACAGTTGGCAGTAAAGTTCCACTTAAGCCATTTTTAACAGATAACTGGATTACTGACTAAAAAACCTGTTTGCAAAAATAGTCTGCTATCCATGCAAAATGTGAAATATTTTGTCGACAGAAACAACTGTCCTAGAGTGAAAGTATTTCAGCTGAAAATTGAAACCATTTATTCAAAACAGCAACACTGTGCCTCCTGGCAGCTGTAGATCAAATTCCTTCTGCTCCCATTCTTCTCTTAGAGCTTGGTTCCCTGACCAAACTCCATCTCTCATGATGCACCGCGGATAACGGCTCTATGGCTTATGTCCTCATGTCATTCAAAGGGTGCTATTCCTCTGGAGATATGTTGCCATGGGGGTGAAAAAAGCACATAAAGGAATTAGATCTCTAATTTAAATGGAAATATTTTTCCTTCCATCTAGAGTATTTTGAATTTTGGTATTTTGTCAAAAAAAAAAAAAGGAAAACCGTCGTAACAGCTACAAATAAAAACTATCCAATTTTTCTTGAAATTTTCCATAGCAAGCCCTCCTCAAAGCCTGTATTAGAGCTTGTCAGAAAATACAAGAGAACAGGTGCTAATAATCCACTAGTAATTGCAAGCACAATGCAACAGCTATTGAGATTTGCAAAGAGGTGTTCATTCCAAACGACTTTTTCCTCGCTTCTTGTTTGGCTAGTCTCTGCCTGCTGCAGTTCCCTCCCTCCATCTCCCCTCCACAGCTCTGCTTTTGTGACTGCAGCACCTCAATCCATGTGCAAAGGATTTGACTGGGCCCCCCAATACACAGAAAAGGGCCACAAAGCAGACAAAGCTACTTCACCACTTCATCAGGAGTGCAGCTAAAGCTCCAGCTCAGGCTTCCTCCAAAAAAGATGGGTCAGAGATGATGCAGCTCTTTGTCTCTCTCAGCAGTGTTGTCTTATATATCCAAAAATTCAGAGGAATATCCAAAGCCGAAAAACTACAAACAGCTGGACACAGATGGATATCCTGCTGTTTTCCACTCACCTGCTTCTGCCTCAAATCCTTAAAGCCTTGGTCTGCTGCATCCTTTTTTTTTTTTTTCTTCTGTTATCCGTCATACAAAAACATTAACGAGCATTTTAGCAGCAGGGCTGAGACACCCCACTCCAGAGGCAATCTTCTCACTTTTTAGTTCTGCTTCATCTTCCCCAGGGCAGAGCAAACTTTCTTCGTCTCAGCCACAGCTGCATCAACCCTGCCACCGTAGCACAGCACCTACAGGACAGCTGCAATGTTTTAGCACCTACTGGATGCTTCTTAAGCTAAACAAGCCTCACACAAACTTGGTAGCAAAACAGGGTGCCAGAGGCTGTAAAGCTTTCAGACAAACAACAACAGCAACCCACAATGAAAAACGAAAATGTAACGTTATGATTTCTTGCTCTAGGCCCACAGGCAGCATGGGTGAGTGGAAAGACCCTCCCATGGGCCCAAGTGGCATTCATAGCCCATCACCAACGTGAACACAGGCATGTCAACCATTACTACGGTTCTTCTGCTGTATTTCACCTATCTCTGTCTTTTTTTGAACTAGTAACTCTTAAACATGAGGCCATGGCTATGTTTTTAGCTAAGCTGAGACACCTCCAAGGTGTCTCTACATTCCTCTCTGGATTCCCCTTATACTCGACAGAGCAAAAAACTCCACTTTTAGACCATCCTTGTCTCATTCCCAGGTAGACTTATTGCTTCCTATTGACTCCAAAAGGAAGCCAGATATCCAGCTGAGAGGTCTGTATGACAAGCAAGTGAAGTTATAGGAGATGACTACCACAATGTTTCTCTTATACACACATTAATGCGTAAGATGCCCCAGGGCCTTAACTTCAATTGGGACCTGCAAACATTACTGTAACACAAAGATTAGCGTTGAGAAACTTCTAAGCATGCCCACGAAGCTTCATTTACTTTAGGACTAATAAAAAGAATAACCCTGAGATATCCTATTAGCTGTCTAAATGAGGAAGTAGAAATGAACTCCTCCTTTCCCTCACTCTGTGAATAAGAACAGCTCCTCTGCTTGAAAAAGTAGACTTTTCCAAAAACCACACCATTTTGACAAGAATGGAATATATTGTGCAAACAAGGCAAAAGTCCAGAGAACAAACAAGAGCCAGTGGCCAGGGTACACAGCCAGCTGAAACAGAAGGTACACGTAGGTCCTTGGTTTTCTCCCACAGCTGAGTTGACCCCTGTAGCCACCACACTATAGTCTAATTCGGTGTACATATGCACGACCGTTTGCTCCTCTTTCACATCCAAGGAGCTTGAGCTTTTCCCAACAAAAACTAGAAAAAAAGTGTTAGTGTTTGGAAACTCTCAGAATGATGAGAAATCTATTTCTACTAGCTGTAGCAGCGCTCTGTCAAAAAGGGTCTTTTGACAACGAATCTCTTTTTAATCATTTAACTGGCCAGAGCAGTCAACTGGG